CACTTTGATTAGCAGTACAGTAATGTATGGTTAGTAATCACTTTGATTAGCAGTACAGTAATGTATAGTTAGTAACCACTTTGATTAGCAGTACAGCAATGTATGGTTAGTAATCACTTTGATTAGCAGTACAGTAATGTATGGTTAGTAATCACTTTGATTAGCAGTACAGTAATGTATGGTTAGTAATCACTTTGATTAGCAGTACAATAATGTATGGTTGGTAATCACTTTGATTAGCAGTTCAGTAATGTATGATTACCACAAACATGGTTGTTTCCATTGTGGTTCGCTTTAAACATGTTGTACTGTTTAGATTTTTCTGTAGATTGGTTTAAGATCATTCTGAGAATTCATAGCTCATTTATGAAGTACAGACTATATAGCTAAATGCTGGGCTGTGTTTGGTTTGGATAACAATGAAGTTTCTATAAAACTAATTAGGCCAGACATGGCTTTAAACCTGGAACTCCTACCAAATGTCCCATTCAAACACCACTGTGATAGATCTTTACCTGTGGATGGTTTGAGTGAGTGGTCATCAGCTTGTCCACTGCTGTGTCCACTCTGGTAACCAGGAGAATGTTAGAACTAAATGCCGCTCCCGCAATACAGGCCACGCACACACTGACCGCCTGCAAGGTCAAAGGTCAAGGCCGATCGATAGACACAAATTGCAATGGTAAACATCAACAATAATAAAATATCACACATTGATATGAAGGAAGGTCTGGAAGAAAGTTTTGAACTTTTCTCAACATAACATTGCAGTAACTACAGATAGATTGTAATTTTGTTGAGGTTTTGACTTCACATTGTGTTTTGATGAAAAAGGCACGTCTGCTCGCTTCATCATATAAATTATTTCAACGATAGCATTACAATATCTATCATGTCAATATCGTGTGGACGTCTCAAATAGAAGGGACACAACTCATACACTTCACTATAATTTTCATCAACAGAAGTCGCGAGAAATGAAATCAGTGTGTCTTTCACAAGTAATCCCAGTTTGTGCAAACTTAACCAATGTCTACTGCATATATGTTGTCAGCTGATCCAGACTACCTGGCTGACTCATGTCCAGCTCTTTTATATTTACCTGGAATATGTTGTCAAGGGGGTCAAGCTCATCACACAAGGTCAGCAGTTTGTCGTAGATAGACACAACGTGAGCTCGACTTTCTGTCTTTCCTTCCTCACACATTGCACAGACAGCCATACCCAGGCCGAGGATAGCTCCCGATCTTGAATCAGTGATGAATAATTTAATAAAGGTCAAAACTAAAAGCTGACCAGAGGGCACTGTAAAATATCTCAAATGTTACATAAACTTTTCATTTTGGTTACACCAAATGGTCCAAATTGACATTAAAAATGGCTGAACCCAAACAGTTTTGATCAAATACAAATTCCTTGGGACCAAAATTAACCCTGCCTGAGAACATTAGTTTCCTGTTCATAGAAAGTAGATAAGAAACCTGGGACAAGCTAGTGCTAATGTTTAAATCCTCCATTTTTACCTCAAACAGCAGTCAGTTGTAGATCGATTCCCCCTCATGCCCCCTATAAACCGTTCCTAATGAACGACATTTTGGGGCATTTAGGAGTTGGTACTCCAAACCTCTTAAAACTTTGACACAATTTGGTTTGTTTATGTCTTATTAACAGCTATGATCATTTTAGTACATGTCAGCTTTTGGTGGTGGAGTGTCAAGAGAAAAACCACTCACCTGCGGGGCCAGTATCTTACAACTGCAACCACGTTGGCCTTGAACCTGTGACCCAGTGATAAGAGGGTTAGTGATCATAGGTGGTAGGTGGTCCGACCCNTTTCAGTTCAATCGGTCCAGCAGAACTTGACTTTAAGTTTGAAATAGGTTTTCAAAATGGCGGCCGTGGCGGCCATATTGGATTTCTGATCGACCCGAAAAATAACAACACTTTGTCAGGACCATGAGGCGATCATTCCTATCAACTTTCAGTTCAATCGGCCCAGCAGAACTTGACTTTAAGTTTGAAATGTAAAATGTTAACGGACGACGGACGACGGACGACGTACGACGGACGACGACGGACGAAAACGGATAGCAATAGGTCACTTGAGCTAAAGCTCAGGTGACCTAAAAATAGAGGTACAAAAGAAAACTCACCTGTTTTTTACATTGGGTGCAAGGCAACACTCTTCCAATTTATCAAAGCTCTTCCAAATCTGTAACATACCCTGGAAACAACATTTGAACAGTAAATGTTTTAATTGGATTGGAAGATTTTGATTTTAAAAATTAATTTAATTGGTCATTAATGTAGTGATATAAAATGTTTCTACTGTACTCTTAACAGGATTTTTTTCTTCTGAATTCCTATAATTTCCTCTATATCTAAACAAAGATAATCATATTGTGCTGTAATCTTTAGATAGAAAGTTTTAAACTTGTTCTGATTGAAGTACAATTTGCAGAAAAATATGAACATTACAGAAACTGACAAGTTGACCTGTTTGCTTCACAATACCATGCCAAACCAGTAGCACAGGAGATAAGCTCATTGCGTTATAATCAAGAGGTTCAGGAATCAAATCTCGGTGGTTGAGATGTTTTTCGAGAAATTAGGAAATTATGATATATTTGAATTTTAGCTAGACTTAATTGGTGATCATTTCCAAGTCAGGGAAGTGCTAAACAAATTGAAACTCTTCTGTGTTAGAGATAAAACTCACAGTGCTGGGACTGTCTACCTTAAGCCAGAGAAGTTTGATCATACAAAATGTTTCTGAGAGTTACCTTTGTTCCACTGATGTCGGCGAAGTGTTCCTCTAGAAGTCGTGACAGGAACATCCCCAATCCAAGTCCACCATGGAACTGTAGAACAGGGGATTCTGGGACACCTGGTTGTCCTGGCAACCACGAAAGCAGGAAGTTGATGATCATGAAGATTCTGTCAACATCCAGCGTGATGAGTGCTGGTACGACTTGACTCAGGGCGACGGAAGCTGATGCCTGTGCAAGTAGGCTTGCTGGCAAACGATTGTCCACCGACAACTAAAGGGACGAACAGAAGCATAATTATTTACAAACATCATAAACATTATTTTTTTCTACAATAAACATGAAAACAGAACCTAGCTACTTAATTCAAATTATTTGGTTTCAAAATTAATACAGTATTCCAATTTGTAAGTTTTCGATTCTGTTTTATTATCCCCCCTTTTATCCAAAAACATTAAAGGCTGAAATCATGACAGACACAGAAATAAGGGTTTAATTCAACAACCTTTTTTTCTTCTGAAAGAGTCTGAAAAGACAAAAATATTATGGTCTACAACAACATACACAGCTACTGGTGAGTGTAGCCCATCTGGCATGGTATTATAAGTGAGCACTTGTATAAGGTGGTCTTGGTTTTTCATTGTGAAAAGATTGCACTGCAATTCAACAAATAAAACACTGAAGTAAAATACAAACTAGCTGTTAAATTGTTTTAACTGCTAAGTAGGTTTAGAGTACAACGAGCTTCCCTTTGAGAAGATCCCTATTTCTTTAATCAATGGTAAGTTCTATCACAATATCTTTACATTAATAATGACAAAAACTTCCTTGCACAATTACACAGTATCATTTTCTATATCTCTTCTTCATTACAACCTACCACATCCCTTACAACCTACCACACCCTTACAACCTACCCCACCCTTACAATCTACCACATCCCTTATAACCTACCACACCCCTTACAACCTACCACACCCCTTACAACCTACCACACCCTTACAACCTACCACATCCTACAACCTACCACACCCTTACAACCTACCACACATCCCTTACAACCTACCANACCCTTATAACCTACCATATCCTTACAACCTACCACACCCTTACAACCTACTATACCCCTTACAACCTACCACACCCATTACAACCTACCACATCCCTTACAACCTACCACACCCATTACAACCTACCACACCCATTACAACCTACCACACCCTTACAACCTACCACACCCTTACAACCTACCACACCCCTTACAACCTTCCACACCCCTTCCAACCTACCACCCCCTTACAACCTCCCACCCCTCCCTTACAACCCACCACACCCCTTACAACCTCCCACACCCCTTACAACCTTCCCCACCCCTTACACCCTCCCACACATCCCTTACAACCTACCACAACCTTACAACCTACCACACCCTTACAACCTACCACACCCTTACAACCAACCACACCCCTTACAACTACCACACCCTTACACCTACCACACCCTTACAACCTACCACACCCTTACAACCTACCACATCCCTTACAACCTACCACACCCTTACAACCTTCCACACCCATTACAACCTACCACACCCCTTACAACCTAGTAACACATCCCTTACAACCTACCACACCCCTTACAATCAATGTATTATTTTATCAACTCAATCAAGGTTGTCTCTCTTTGCCTGCTTGTATCAAAGACATGGTTCAGTTCTACAGCACTGAAATAAGTTTGTCCCCCTTTGTCCAGAAGTTTTAGATACACCACTATTCTCAAAAAGTTGTACTGTATTCACTGTAATTAGTGCCCAGGGCAATTAAACAAGAGGCCCATGGGCCTTAACGGTCACCTGATATATTTATACAGAGTTGATTTTGTTTTTAACACGAACAGAAATATTATTCAAAGTGACAAAAAACAATAAAACCACCTTATTCAATATCTTGCATGCAGATTTAAGACTGAAATGTATTTGAAACTAGCACCTNCTCCTTCGCCAGGGGGTAAATGTGAGACCCTAGGGTCATAAACCTTTAGACCCTTCCATCTATGAAGAGTGTTTGATTTTACCATATCTGGGTCTTTGAGAAGAAGATTTTTGAAATTTCAGTCAATTCAACCCTTTTTGGCCCCATCCATCAGCCCCGGGGGGTCAGGGCTGGTATGTGCATACCATCAAACTGCTATCCAATACTGATAATGCTAACCCAAATTGAATTACTTCCAATGGAAATTAAACAAATGTTGGTCCAAAATGCGATTTCCCTATATAAACTATAGTAAAGTTTACCCTCTCCTCAGGGGTAAACGTGAGACCCCAGGGTCAAGAAATTCACAATTTCGGTAAAGCACCTTAAGACCCTTCCATCTAACAAGAGTATTTGATTCTACCATATCTGGGTCTTGAGAAGAAGATTTTTGAAATTTCAGTCAATTTGACCCTTTTTGGCTCCATCCCTCAGGCCCCTGGGGGCTTGGGAACAAACTGGCCACTATAGTTGACCTTTGGCCATAGAAGGTTTCTGCAAAATTTCATTGAAATTGGTTCAAGGGTTTTGGAGAAGAAGTTGAATATGTAAATTGTTTACGGACGCACGACGGACGACGGACGCCGCCGGACAAAAGGCAATCGCAATAGGTCACTTTTGACTTTGTCTCAGGTGACCTAAAAATTTACATAAATCGAGCACTTATTAAGATAATACAAGAGGCCCAGGGGCCTTGATAGCTCACCTGGTATTATTTTAATTTGAAATTTGTTTAAGGAAAGAGTACATTAATTAAAACCAGTTAGCACTTAAAGATGACCTTTTACCTCATTACTGTAATTAAGAAAAGTATTCGCACTGCTAGTCCAAATGGTTCTTAGGATGTTGTTGTTTAAAGTTTTTAACAAATGACCCCTGTGACCTTGAAAGTTAATGGTTATTTTTTGCTTTTTTTAAGGGGGCAATAAATATTTTTAAGCCTTTAATGGTAATTTAAAATAATACACTTTTTCTGTTTTATTAAACTTATTAAAGACTTAAACACTTTAAATAAAAGCTTGATCAATTTGATTTAACATTTAAACATAATTATTCTATTTGACTGAAATTAACATTTACCTGTTGACAGAGACCAATCAGCTTTCCTTTTGGAGTGAAAGTGACATCCATCAGAGATATGATCGTATCTATGACAACCGTAAGCCAATGAGGGGGACTCATGAATTCACTGCTGTCCTCAGCTGCTTTGGCAGCCTCAGTATCTAGCCCATTGCCATGGCGATTCACGGTGACAGCCAATCCCGCTAGGGCGTATATAGAGTTGCTTTGCATTGTGGGATTTCCTCTGAAAATGATAAAACAAAAGAAAATTCTTATTTGTTTAATTAAATCAGTTATTTATCAGACTTCCAATACTTATTGTTACAGTATGTTTTTGTAAGATATATAAAGGCAGACGTCTGCATACCTATATGTATTTAAAGTTTGTCATGTCATCAAAAAGTAATTGAGTGCCAGAGATCTGTTTTACCAGTATGAATGTTTTACATAAATTTGGAATCCAATTTCATATCATCCATTGATAGAAAAGTTCTAAATTCCCCTTACTCTGTGTTAACACTAGCTGAATTAAGTTTAATATGTTGTCATTGAGTTGGATCATTGCACCTGAGAAACAAAACAAAATGTTCTCAAAGTGTTTATTCCACATTAAACAAAATCAAACTTTAATCTGACATGATAAATATATGACTGATTGACTCAAAGTGCTTGTAGGGACAAAGGAACATTACCATGTTCTTTATTTTGCATACGTAATTTAATAATTCGGTATCTTGGCTGTACTGGACCCAACTGTTTACCTGGTTAAGCTTTGCTAGCTATATGCAAGTAATTCACTTCAAATCTAAAATCATAACTCCACGCTCAAACCACCATATTTTGTATATATTCATCTTGAATCTCATACAATTTATTTTAGTTTTGTATAACAATATAACAATATTTGTACGAAATTGTCATCAAGCATTAGCTACCTAGGCTTTGAACACCGAGGACGAGGGTATATTTAGTAACATGCTGCGATGATATAAGACATTATTAATAAATAAAATCATATAAAACAAGTATTGATGTGACATCAATACACTGTAACATTTATGGCTGATATATATACGTCTCTTATCTAAATGTCACCATATGGTTCTCTAGTACCATTTTGTACTTTACTATGAGATCAGCGTCATGATTTATGTCCCAGTCTTTCAAAAAATCATTTAGCTGTGAACATATCATGTAATAGTGAATAAAGCAAGTGAAAATGGTTGAAAAGAGATTAAACATGTTACATTTGACAGTTTTTTAATGTAATTTTTCATTTAATTTACAAAAAAAAACCATCTTCATTTTCATTTTGTTTTTGTTTTTTTGGGTGGGGGAGGGGGAATTCTCGTAGTTTGGGGAAAATACATCAAATTGGTCAGCTCAAACAGTTAAAGTGCTTCATGGTTTAGAAATAAACTTTGTCTTCTCTCTATGTCTAGTGATGTTTACAAATAACAAGAGGCCCATGGGCCTTAACGGTCACCTGAGTCTATAGTATTTATTTTTGTTGTTGAAATATGTACCAATTTGAGTAAAAAATAGTATAATGTTAACTTAACTTTGTCAGGACCATGAGCTGATCATTCCTAGACCAATTTTAAGTGAGATCGGCCTATTAGAACTTAGTAGCAAAATAGCGGCCATGGCAGCCAAATTGTATTTCTGATTGACCCGAAAAATAACAACACTTTGTCAGGACCATGAGTCGATCATTCCTACAAACTTTAAGTTCAATCGCTCCAGCAGAACTTGACTTTAAGTTTGAAATGTAAAATGTTAAGGGACGACGGACGACGGACGACGGACGACGTACGACGACGGACGAAAACGGATAGCAATAGGTCACTTGAGCTAAAGCTCAGGTGACCTAAAAATATTTAAGCAAACACGTAAAATGATTTTCTTTTAGGAAAAAAAGAAACTATCCCTGTAGCTAGAAAAGCAATTTCTTTGTATTATTTTCATTATTTAAAAGTATTATTAGTAATTTATTGTTCAGTATTCTTGTAATATGAATTATAGCAACATTATAACCAGGTGTTTCACTTTAATACCACAAGGCTGAACATGGCTGTGGAGTGTACTAAGGACAAACCTGGAGCTGATCTTGATCACATCCACCAAGGTGTCGCGGACCCTGGAAAACACAAATCACACCTCTTAAATCCTTTTCAGTGAAGCCAGGAAAAGACATTTTTCTCTATTAATAATCTTTTATTAGGTTTCTTTGTGAAAATATCATCAAAGAAAGTGATCACATGCGTCAGTGCCCAAATTATATGAAAAAAATCCATTTCTTTGACGTTGACAAATACCTTCTACGCAGCATATTTCATCTTTGATGAGCCCTGGGGTCCTCTAGTTCTTCAAAATGTAGCAAATAATCCAATACAACATGCCTTTTTAAGACATCGCAGATAGCCTAAGTTACAAATTCAAGACGGCATAGCGATTTTTTGTTTTATATGTTTCTCCACGGGATAAACAGGTTTTGTCTGTGACTTTAGAACATGACACGTTGTAATACTTTTATTATAACCTACAATAGCTTTTCTGTGTATACACATTGTATTCTCGGCAGAACTCATAATTATACAGTATGAGTGTTAATTTTTTTTTCCTGAAAATTGTAACAAAACAACCAAGAGTGCACAAGAAAACAACAAGAATGGAAGAACGATGTATTCTTGTATCAATTGTTGGTCTTATCAGTGCCGATTCAGCATTATTGTACTGTCACATCGTGCAAATATGGCTTGCAAATTGGCGATATCATTAGAACAAGAGGAACAATGCTTAGTTCAAGTTGATCTAGTGGAAATGAGAATTAATAAAAAATGTCTCATCCAATCAGAGGAAAGGTACGTAGATCTGGATTTCAAATAAACTTTTGAAAAATATCAGTACCTGCTCAGGTTCATGAAAGCATCATTCAGACCAAATTTGTATAAAAGGAACATTTGTTTAATATTTTATCAAAATTAACCCAATTGATTTTTATCTATACAACATTTCTTTGGCCCATAGATTTTCCATACCAAATTGTGTCATAATCCCTTATCTGTACTTTGAAGGTTAACTTACTATTTCCGTTTTCTTTGGGCCTTCATTTATAGAACATTTTATACCCTGACCCAAGAAATATCCACGCAAAATTTAGTGAAAATCCCTTCAGTAGTTCTGGAATTGGTCTTTTTACAGGAAAAGTTAATGACTGACAATCGTCATGATGGGACAGACACCGTACTTCACCATAAGCTTTTAACTCAGCCCTTAACATGTTAACATAAATCAATCACTATTATCGAAACATGACAAAAAATTAATTTGAAAAATAGAACAATTTACGATAAATTGTTGAAATTGTAAATGTCTGACACTTTAATAAAGATGTTGATAGTCTAGTTCCATCATTAAAATTCATCACGGTAACAAAAATAAGCTGACCTAAATATTTCATACTCGATCTAGAAATAACATCTTAAATATGTCTCTTCACTCGAGGGAGAAACATAAAAATGTCTGTTTCCCATGACAACGTTTCTAGAGAAAGATGCGCCTCTAATAAAGTAAACTGCTGTCAAGATTGCCCCCCCCCCCCGAGTGGGGACGAGGACCGTGACAGACTTATCAGCGCCTTACCATAACCAGGCCACCTGCTTTTTCAGTCTGGCTTCATCTTCAGACACATGGTCTCGTTTCAGTTGGAGCTCAATTTCTGCCCGGCGGCCCTGAAAATTGATGAAGCACTCAAATATTCAGCACATCTGAAAAGACTGTCTCTTTAAAATTATCTCAACTAATAGTCAAATCTGTCAAAATTTCTTTGATGTTTTCATGGAATATGATAAATGTATATTGTCAGTTAAGTTGTAATACCCAACATACAGGTGTATCTACCTACAGTACAGGTATGTCTTATTACCCAGTACACAGGTATATCTACCCACAGTGCAGGTATGTCTTATTACCCAATACACAGGTCTATCTACTTACAGTACAGGTATGTCTTATTACCAAATACACAGGTCTATCTACCTACAGTACAGGTATGTCTTATTACCCAGTACACAGGTATATCTACCCACAGTACAGGTATGTCTTATTACTCAATATACAGGTATATCTACCCAAAGTACAGGTATGTCTTATTACCTAATACACAGGTATATCTACCTACGATACAGGTATATCTTATTGCCCAGTACACAGGTGTATCTACCCACAGTACAGGTATGTCTTATTACCCAATACACAGGTGTATCTACTTACAGTACAGGTATGTCTTATTACCAAATACACGGGTATATCTACCCACAGTACAGGTATATCTTACTACCCAATACACAGGTATATCTACCCACAGTACAGGTATGTCTTATTACCAAATACACAGGTATATCTACCTACAGTACAGGTATGTCTTATTACCAAATATACAGGTTTATCTACCTACAGTACAGGTATGTCTTATTACCAAATACACAGGTATATCTACCCACAGTACAGGTATGTCTTACCCAATACACAGGTATATCTACCAACAGTACAGGTATGTATTATTACCTAATACACAGGAATATCTACCTACAGTACAGGTATGTCTTATTACCCAATACACAGGTAAATCTACCCAGAGTACAGGTATGTCTTATTACCCAATATACAGGTATATCTACCCACAGTACAGGTATGTCTTATTACTCAATACACAGGTGTATCTACCCACAGTACAGGTATGTCTTATAACCCAATACATAGGTATATCTACCCACAGTACAGGTATGTCTTATTACCCAATACACAGGTATATCTACCTACAGTACAGGTATGTCTTACCCAATACACAGGTATATCTATCAACAGTACAGGTATGTCTTATTACCCAATATACAGGTATATCTACCCACAGTACAGGTATGTCTTATAACCCAATACATAGGTATATCTACCCACAGTACAGGGATGCCTTATTACCCAATATAAAGGTATATCTATCAACAGTACAGGTATGTCTTATTACTCAATACACAGGAGTATCTACCCACAGTACAGGTATGGCTTATTACCAAATATACAGGGATATGTCTTATTACTCAATACACAGGAGTATCTACCCACAGTACAGGTATGCCTTATTACCCAATATACAGTTGTATCTACCTACAGTACAGGTATGTCTTACCCAATACACATGTATATCTATCAACAGTACAGGTATGTCTTATTACTCAATACACAGGAGTATCTACCCACAGTACAGGTATGCCTTATTACCAAATATAAAGGTATATCTATCAACAGTACAGGAATGTCTTATTACCCAATACACAGGGATATCTACCCACAGTACAGGTATGGCTTATTACCAAATATACAGGGATATGTCTTATTACTCAATACACAGGTGTATCTACCCACAGCACAGGTATGTCTTATTACCAAATACACATGTACATCTACCTACAGTACAGGTATGCCTTATTTCCCATACACAGATGTATCTACCTACAGTACAGGAATGTCTTATTACCCAATACACAGGTAAATCTACCCACAGTACAGGTATGTCTTATTACCCAGTACACAGGTATATCTACCCACAGTACAGGTATGCCTTATTACCCAATATACAGATGTATCTACCTACAGTACAGGGATGTCTTATTACCCAATACACAGGGATATCTACCCACAGTACAGGTATGCCTTATTTCCCAATACACAGATGTATCTACCTACAGTACAGGTATGTCTTACCCAATACACAGGTATATCTATCAACAGCACAGGTATGTCTTATTACCCAATATACAAGAATATCTACCCACAGTACAGGTATGGCTTATTACCAAATATACAGGGATATGTCTTATTACTCAATACACAGGAGTATCTACCCACAGTACAGGTATGTATTATTACCAAATACACATGTACATCTACCTACAGTACAGGTATGCGTTATTTCCCATACACAGATGTATCTACCTACAGTACAGGAATGTCTTATTACCCAATACACAGGTAAATCTCCCCACAGTACAGGTATGTCTTATTAACAAATACACAGGTATATCTACCCACAGTGCAGGTATGTCTTATTACCCAATATACAGGTATATCGACCCACAGTACAGGTATGTCTTATAACCCAATACATAGGTATATCTACCCACAGTACAGGTATGCCTTATTACCCAATATAAAGGTATATCTATCAACAGTACAGGTATGTCTTATTACCCAATATACAGGTGTATCTACTTACAGTACAGGTATGTCTTATTACCAAATACACAGGTATATCTACCCACAATACAGGTATGTCTACCTACAGTACAGGTATGTCTTATTACCCAATATACAGGTATCTCTACCTACTGAACAGGTATGTCTTATTACCAAATACACAGGTATATCCACCCACAGTACAGGTATGTCTTATTACCAAATACACATGTATATCTACCCACAGTACAGGTATGCCTTATTACCCAATATAAAGGTATATCTATCAACAGTACAGGTATGTCTTATTACCCAATACACAGGTGTATCTATCCACAGTACAGGTATGTCTTATTACCCAATATACAGGTTTATCTACCTACAGTACAGGTATGTCTTACTACCCAATACACAGGTATATCTACCTACAGTACAGGTATGTCTTATTACCAAATATACAGGTTTATCTACCTACAGTACAGGTATGTCTTATTACCAAATATACAGGTATATCTACCCACAGTACAGGTATGTCTTATTACTCAATATACAGGTGTATCTACCCACAGTACAGGTATGTCTTATTAACCAATATACAGGTTTATCTACCTACAGTACAGGCATGTCTTACTACCCAATACACAGGTATATCTACCTACAGTACAGGTATGTCTTATTACCAAATACACAGGTATATCTACCCACAGTACAGGTATGTCTTATTACCAAATATACAGGTATATCTTATTACCCAATATACAGGTATATCTACCCACAGTACAGGTATGTCTTATTACCAAATACACAGGTATATCCACCCACAGTACAGGTATGTCTTACTACCCAATGCACAGGTATATCTACCCACAGTATAGGTATGTCTTATTACCCAATACACAGGTATATCTATCAACAGTACAGGTATGTCTTAACCAATACACAGGTATATCTATCAACAGTACAGGTATGTCTTACTACCCAATACACAGGTATATCTATCAACAGTACAGGTATGTCTTACTACCCAATACACAGGTACATCTACCCACAGTACAGGTATGTCTTATTACTCAATACACAGGTATATGTACTCACTGTACAGGTATGTCTTATTACACAATACACAGATGTATCTACCTACAGTACAGGTATGTCTTATTACCAAATACACAGGTATATGTACTCACTGTACAGGTATGTCTTATTACCAAATACACAGGTATATCTACCCAAGGAACAGGTATCTTATTACTGAATACTCATTTATTTTAGACAATACACGCCAGGTATGTAAATGCACACGCCAGGTATGTCAATGCCATGGTTTATAAACACAACCTACACTGACCTAGTACACAATCTTTTGCTTTATTATCACTGTATGTCTGTCGGTTACCTGTCGTTCAACAGGGAAGTTATTTACTCTGTCGGTTACCTGTCCCTCAACAGGGAAGTTATTTACTCTGTCGGTTACCTGTCGCTCAACAGGGAAGTTATTTACTATGTATAACTGCAGGTCTAAACAGGTAGATCTACACATTGCCATGGATTTGTGAACACAGGGCAGACATTTGTTGAAATCACTTACCAGTCAGATTTCAGCCAAACATATGACTTCAGACTTTTGATCAAAGCTTTTGAAATGTCAGCAGGAAAGTGACAGATTTATCAACGAAGCAAGAGGGAAGTTCATCATGTGATTGTGAATTCTAGAGCTGAATAACATTGACAATGTAAGTGAACATTGAGAAGTATGGAAAGGACAACTTGGATTCATCATCACCCTGTGACATCAGTGATCGTGAGTTAGCTATTCTATAGTGTAATTATACCACTGGATGGGACAGTCAAGTCAAGTTTTCATTTCTTAACATAACCAACTCTTATTTGTGAGTGTTTACTGATAACAATATATTTATACAAGAACAACAATCACCTTCAAGATTTCAACAAATAATTTTGCTTTTTATCAAAATGGCAACCCCTATGAGCCAAATTTCTCTCCGTATTAAAGGTCAGACCACATGTATTCACCACAAGGGGAGACAACTAGACTTGTGTTGTGAAAAATGTCAGGAACTGGTTTGTCTAAAATGCCTTTCTTCTAATCACAAAACCCATACAGTTTGTGAGCTAAGTGAAGTCACTCATCAGGAGAAACCAGACATTAAAAACTTTATAGACAGAACAGAAAAAAATGACCTCGTACAAATAGGGAAATACATCACCTCTACTGACACACTCCTTAAAGACAACACCAGCACTTTTGAGAAGTTGTCACAAAAGTTAAAAATACAAACAGAGAGATTAAAGCAAGAGCTGGACATACTTACAGAACAGACACTCTCTCTTTACCACAAAATGGAAGAGGATAATACAAATCTCATAATGAAATACAAACAGGACCTGGAGGTGTATGAAAAACAACTCAAACAACAAATTCAAGAATGCAAAGCAGCTCTCCAGCGTGGTTCACACATACATATTTATGATGCATTTTGTGAGATCCAGTCTCCTACACACAGTCTCCCTGTAAAACCTGTCCTGGGTACTGCCAACTTCACTCCGAACGAAAATCCTCAAGATCACTTGAAAAAAGCCTTGGGAAAAGTTATTACCTCAAGTCAAGGTCAAACTTTAACTGACCAGGGTCGGTCAGTCACAACATCTGATGATCTGGAACAATCCTCTACACAGCAACAACAGTCAGGAACAAAAGTGAAGAAAGCAGTGACAACATACAAACTACTGCCACAGACCAAGATAGTGGAGGAAAGGAAGTCTCCATGTTACATTGATTCTATATGTCCCACCACTGATGGTCAGGTGTGGACCAAGTACAATAAAACATTGACTCTCCTGGACAGGAAGGGTAATGTAATACAGGAGGTCAAACACAATGTCTATATCGATGATATCAGTCTGTTACCCACCACACACACACTGTGGGTCTGTGATGATAGGAACAACATCAGGGAGCTGGTATCAGGACGACTGACACACAGATTCAGTACCAAGGAGTTACCCAGGTGTATATGTATTACAGCCAGTAACCATGTCATTGTAGGGATGACCAAACACATCTCCAAATTTACCACAGATGGTAAAATGGTGTGTACTACTATGGCTAAAAGGACTAGGAAACCATTAGTGTGTACACCATACAGGATCTCAGAGTGTCCTGTCACTCACAATGTGGCAGTCGCTGATTTCAGTTATGAAAGTGATGGTGGTGATGGAAAGGGACGTGTTGTTGTGATGGACACTGATTTCAAGGAACTGTTTGTATATAGAGGTGACATCCCCAGTACATATAAACCAACACCACAAACAGGAGGTAAACCATTTAACCCCAGTGGTGTGGTGTATGACAGTGTGGGGAACCAGATCATAGGGGACCGTCACAACAACAGGGTCCTACTCATCAGTGGAGGTGGTGAGTTCCTCAGGGTCATACACACAGACACAGACTGTACATGGGCTGTAGGTATAGACAGGGAGGATGTCCTGTGGGCAGTGTTTGGGACAATGAATAGGGAAGTCAAACTACTACAGTACAGCAGTGTGTGACACCTGTAACCAAACAACTAGTATATGTAGTTACCATGACAATGACATGGAAATCAGAGACAAATGAAACTTGTAATGATAACCAATCAACTACAAATTGTGTGACATTTACAGGATTATAAGTAAAATGTCTAGACTACAGATTGTGTGACATTCACAGGATTGTAAGTAAAATGTCCAGACTACAGATTGTGTGACATTTACAGGATTATAAGTAAAATGTCTAGATTACAGATTGTGATACATTTACAGGATTATAAGTAAAATGTCTAGACTACAGATTGTGAGACATTCGCAGGATTATAGTAAAATGTCTAGACTACAGATTGTGAGACATTTACAGGATTATAAGTAAAATGTCTAGACTACAGATTGTGTGACATTCACAGGATTATAAGTAAAATGTCTAGACTACAGATTGTGAGACATTCACAGGATTATAGTAAAATGTCTAGGCTACAGATTGTGAGACATTTACAGGATTATAGTAAAATGTATCGACTACAAATTGTGAGACATTTACAGGATTATAAGTAAAGTGTCTAGACTACAGATTGTGAGACATTCACAGGATTGTAAGTAAAATGTCTAGACTACAGATTGTGTGACATTCACAGGATTATAAGTAAAATGTCTAGACTACAGATTGTGAGACATTCACAGGATTATAAGTAAAATGTCTAGACTACAGATTGTGTGACATTCACAGGATTATAGTAAAATGTATAGATTACAGATTGTGAGACATTTACAGGATTATAAGTAAAATGTCTAGACTACAGATTGTGAGACATTCAAAGGATTATAAGCAAAATGTCTAGACTACAGATTGTGAGACATTTACAGGATTATAAGTAAAATGCCTAGACTACAGATTGTGAGCCATTTACAGGTTTTTAAGTAAAATGACTAGACAACAGATTGTGAGACATTTACAGGATTATAAGTAAAATGTAGACTACAGATTGTGAGACATTTACAGGATTATAAGTAAAGTGTCTAGACTTCAGATTGCGAGACATTTACAGGATTATTAGTAAAATGTCTAGACTACAGATTGTGAGACATTCACAGGATTATAAGTAAAATGTCTAGACTACAGTTTGTGTGACATTTACAGGAGTATAAGTTAAGTGTATAGATTACAGATTGTGAGACATTCACAGGATTATAAGTTAAGTGTATAGATTACAGATTGTGAGACATTCACAGGATTATAAGTAAAATGTCTAGACTACAGATTGTGTGACATTTACAGGATTATAAGTAAAATGTCTAGACTACAGATTGTGTGAGATTCACAGGATTATAATTTCGAGACCAAATGGTCCTATACAACTCAACTACCGATCAACTACTTTTCAGCGCTATTTGCAAACAAATCTGTGACCTATAAAGTGGATCGTATATAATATCACTCTTTTTAGATCTGAGGAATCCACAGAAAAACACTTTATAATCTTTCTTCACAAAACAATAATTGGGAAATCTGATTGAAAAGAAGGTCAAGGTTATTCATTTATACAAACGTTACTTGATCTCACTTACTGGGAAATCTGGCATTCTGCTAGCGAAAATCATGACCCAATGCCACTTTCCTAATGATTAATCAGGAGAAGCTGTTGAGATATTGACTTGTATGTCCTGTCCTTTATGACCTTGGAAGTAGGCTAAGGTCATATATAATTGAGGGTAGTACAGTAGTATACTAGGTACCTACTGGCTGACTATCAGGACCCGTGGTCTTTATATAACGGTCCTGAAAAAAGGTTCTTGTAGATATTTACTTATTAAAGTCCATGTTGATATTTTACCACGGCTAACTGTCAAAGTTAACCTTTCACCTAAACACAATAATTAGAAACATACCAAAGTGCAATGGATCTAGACCTTATAGTTCTTTAGAAAATGTTGTTTGAATTAGCACTCCATCAATGGTACCTACTGGCACAATATCAGGACCTTGGTAAAGGAGATCTACATTACCTGTCAGTCTTGAGACCCGAAGGAATGAAATACACATTTTTATGTTTTTATTAACGATTTACACATAAGCCTCAATGATCATCCTTGACCTGCTTCTGTACATGGTGAGCTAAATATAGTTGTGCTCACAGAATATAGTTCCAGATTCTGCAGCTTGTACAACAGTACTTCAGCCACCTTTATAACCAGGTATTGCCATTATTTAATATTTGATATATACCAATAAACAATTTTATCACCTAACTGGCCCATTTTACTACATATATGTCATACGACCATGTCATAAATATGGTAATACACATGTGTAATAAAAGCTTAAGGTGCTGTGATTGGTACAAGAGGCCCGCCCAGAGGGCCTGTATTGCTCACCTGGATACCTAAGCAATCATGGCAAAATATTCTCCAAATGAGATCTAAGGGAATATGCCAGACCCCAAGGCCAATCCTTGTAGCATATCTGTATTAGATTTTTCATGCCCAGCAATTTTATGTATGGTTATGGGGTGGGGATCTCAACTGTTTCCAAGTTGTGACTCAAAAACTAGGTCCCTAGGGTTGTGGCCAGACCTCAGGATCAATTCTAATATCATGACTGCATTTGTCTCCTTTTGCCAAGCATTTGTATATATAGTTTTGGGGTGGGGATCTCAACCGTTTCAAAGTTATGACCAAGGGATTAAGTCTGCAAGGTTGGGGCAGAACCTGGGGTCAATTAACTCTAATATCATGACTGCGTTCATCTCTTTATGCCCACAATTAAATATATATTTTTGGGGTGGGGATCTTAACCATTTTGAAGTAATGACCCAGGGGTTAAGTCTCTAAGGGTGAGGCAGTCGATCCCCAAGGCCATCCTGGAAGCAAAAGTGCATTCTTCTCTTTATACTCAGCAATTGTATATATGGTTATATGGTGGGGATCTCAACCATTTCCAAGTAATAAACTTTTTTTGGTCCCATCCCTTAGCCGTGGTGTCAGCCCCACCGTTTGTACAATTTTGAATCCCTGCCTCCCATGAATGCTTCCAACCAAATATGATCGATATCCATGGCATAGTTCTACAGAAGAAGTCGTTTGTAGCAATATAACCAAATTGCCCCCTTTTGGCCCCACCCTCAGCCTCCTGGGGAGTCAGCCCAACCATTTGTACAATTTTGAATCTCCACCACCTACATATGTAGGGATGCTTCCAGTAAAATATGGTTGATATCCATCTCTTAGTTCCAGAGAAGAAGTCGCTTAAAGCAATATAGCCAAATTGACCCCTTTTTGCCCTGCCCCTCAGCCCCCTGGGTAGTCCGAATTATTCTGACGTTTTATCGACTTTATTCATATCAGTCTGTCGTCGATTAACGTCAGAACTCCGGCCCTCTATAATATGCGGGAAATATGCGACCTGCGCCCGGAGCGCACTTCAAACTGATATTTTAGAAACAAATCGTCACTTTCACACAAATGTCGCACATGGATCGAAAGATCTATTCTTTATGCACTAGGTGGTATCATTGGTATCATTGGAAGGAGAAGGATTTTAAATATTAAGCTATTTCTCTAATATTAGGCTCCGCCCTCTAACCCCAAACAACTGCAAAAAAAAAAAAACACCCTATGTTTTTAAGTGAAACAAATCACATCCAGATCCAAGTAATTGAAAAATATAAATAAATAAAATAAAAGCAACTGTGCTTTCTTTCTCCAATTTTTCACCTTTATTGTATGAAATATGTATGTGTTCTTATTGTATTGCTTTTAGATAATCACATCTATTCATATAATTTCAATAAAAGCCATGTTGTGAACCATGTTTAATAAATGTTATGATAAATAAAACAATTTTCAGTTAATAGTCAAAGTTTCTAATATTTTGTTGGTGGTTTTAAAGGTCCTCCGCACAATGCTAAACCCCCAAAAATCATCTTCATATTGTTGCATGATCATTATGTGAAAGTTTCAATGATTTTTGCTTGTAAACTGTGAAGGGTACAGTATATAAATATGTTTTATATATTATTCCCTTTCATAGTTTACAAGGTGAAAGTCAAACAAGGACATTAAGTTGTACAAACTTCGTAGCCCTTCATCCCCGAATGCAACTTGCCCAATAACACCACTTCCGATTATTGAGAATATGTCCTTTAAAGGTTTATACACAATTGACCAGATGTGACCTTGAAAGTGTGTCAAGGTCATTCACATGAACAATCTTGATAGCTCTTCATCTGAGCATGCTACTGGTCACATATCACCACCCTTTGCAAAAGATTTTAATATATTTGACCCCTGTGACCTTGAATATGATTATCATCATCCTGCAGAAGTTATATAAGTTTTTTTTTAATGACAATTGACCTTTTTGACCTTGAGTAAGGTTGAAAGAAATTCATTTGAACAAACTTGTTAGCTGTTCATCCAAGCATTATACTGGCCAAATATCATCCCCCAGTCCTTTTGGTTATTCAGAAAAAAGTTGGTAACATATTTGATATTTGACCCCTGTGACCTTGAACATTGGCAAAGGTCATTCAATTGAACAAACTTGGTGGCTCTTCATCATTGCATGTTACTGGCCAAATATCATTTTGGCCTTTTGGTTATTCAGAAGAAGTTGTTTAAACTTTTTATAAGACAACTGACCCCTGTGACCTTGAATATGGGTCAAATAAATTAATTTAAACAAACTTGGCAGTCCTTCATGCCAGCATGGTACTTGCCAAATATCAACTCTGGTCCTTTTAATTATTCAGAAGTTGTAAAAGGTTTTTAAGACAAGTGGCCCAGAGGGCCTGTATCGCTCACCTTGATGTGTTTACGAAGTACTTGATATGAGGTACAGATATCGCACTGAAATTTCAGAAAGATCCATCCAGTATTTCTGGAGATATAGCGAGAAAAAACTTCAAATGTCCAAATCCAAGATGGCGGCCTGTTGGCAATCTTGTTTAAATGATTACACCCTAATAGTAACAGGCACTACTAGACAACTTGATGGAGACAAAATTGAGATAAAATCTCTTAATCACCATGGTAGAAGGATTTCAAAGGTTTTACCTCTATTGGGTCATGCCCCTCTGCCCTGAGGGCCACACCCACTGTTTATACAAAATTGAATGCACTTAGCCCAAGGATGCTCCAGATCAAATAGGGATGGAATCCCATAATCCCTTTGGTAAAAGAAGTATTTTAAAGGTGTACCACTAAAATCCCCTGATCCCCTATGGAAGAAGAATGATTTTGAAAGTTTTACCTCTATTTCCCCTAGTGGGCCCCACTCCTCTGCCCCCAAGGGGGCCACATCCACTGTTTATACAAAATTGAGTGCCTTTGGACCAAGGATGCTCAAGACTAAATAAAGATAAAATCTCTTAATCCCTATGGTAGGAGAAGGATTATAAAGGTTTTACCTCTATTTCGCCTATTCTGCCATGCCCCTCTGCCCTGAGGGCTGCACCCACCGTTTATACAAAATTGAGCCCCTTGGACCAAGGATGCTTCAGACTAAATCCCGTAATCCCTGTGGAAGAAGAAGGATTTTCAAGGTTTTACCTCAATTTCCCCTATTGGACCCCGACCGGTCCCCAGGGGGGCCACACCCACCGTTTATACAAAATTGAGTCCACTTGGCCAAAGGATGCTTCAGACCTAATTCAGCTTAAATCCACTAATCTGTTCAGGACTTTTCAAGGAAAAGCTGATGGACGGACAGACGACGGACGCTGCGCCATTGCATAAACTCACTGGCCCTTCGGGCAGGTGAGCTAAAATTGAGCCTAGTCACCAGAGGGCCCAGCCCTCTTTATATTTAAAGTTAGTATGCCAGATATCAACAAAGAAAAATCTCTACAGGGAAGGGAACACTTGTCAGGAAAGTTCTAGAAAGCATTTTGATAAAACTTGGGAGGCAGATTCGATTTTCCCTTGTTTCATTGGGCAATTTCAACAAATTTAAATCTGAATGTTTCTTTTATATAGCAATAGCATTCTTTGAAACATGGAACAATTGGTATGTACAGAATTCAAACATACTTTTAAACAAGAGGC